TAAGCAGGATTTTTCGAGAGATCAAGTGCAAGATGCGTTTAGAGGTCAAAAGCTGAGCACATGCTCTTTCAGATAACCCTAAACCCTAAACCTTAAACCCTAAACCCTAAACCCTAAACAGATCTAGAGCCTGATCCGCTAAGGGATTACTGACCATCCTAGGACCCCTGCAGAAGCAAAGACATCAAAACTGTCGCCCCAACTGCCTCGCAGGAGCCGACGCTTGAACCAAGAGCAAAAGAAGGGGCCTCCTGATAATAATCCCCCACATAACTACCCTTGAAGACGGTAACCCAGAGATCCCTATCATAAGGACCCTTAAGTTAAAGTAACCCGAAGACACCTGTGTGATATGCACCTATGAAAAGGGCAGACGTAAGACAACCCTAAATCAGGCAACCTACAAGGCACCCTAAACCCAACTCCGTAAACAAGCCTAGACCCCAAACCCTAAACCCTACGCCCTACACACTAAACCCTAAACCCTACATCCTAAACCCTACACCGTAAACCCCAAGAATGAGCCCCGGGGAGAATGTGGGAGCCAAGGTTGCGAGAGGAGGTTCAAGAGGAGCGCAGCTTCAGGCCGGGAGCTTGAAAAGAAGTCGCGGTCTAGGGTTTAGGGGTTTCGGGTTTAGGGTTCAGGGTTTATGGTTTAGGGTTGTTGATGAGAAACCCCCTAAAAGCCCTAAACCTTATTCAGGTTCTACTTAGATATTCAACGGGAGAGCTCTAACCTTTATGGCCTTACGTACGTTTGGTGTGTATTTAGACAGTTCGAGAATTTTTGGGGCCCGGTTCTTGAAGAAAAGAGTCTATAACCCTGATAGAATCTGCAGGGTTCTTGTGAGCTTAGTTGCCATTCTCCGGAAAAAAGCGGCAATAATTGGCTGAACATCCTTGGTATAGGACTCACAAGACATGTGTGAAGCCTAGTAACCTCAATTCCGTACCCTACACTCTAAACCCTACATAAAATCCTATTCAGCAGTATACTGAAGCTTTGAGGCTTGCCTCTCCTTCCTCGCCACCTAGCCGCCGACGCTCTGCTCCTCCGAGGAAGAGGCCGCGGATGTTTGATTTCCCATTCCGGGTTTTTTAGGTCTTGAGCTTACGGTTTAGGGTATTTAGGGTCTGGAGTTGTAGGTTTCGGGACAAGGGTATGTATAGCCTGAAGAACTGAGATCAGGCAGTCCCGAAACCCGAAACCACTAAGACCCGAAGCTCCACCGCTTTCAGGATCTGGGCATGTGCAGATTTCCGGAAATTGCAGGTTCCTTGCGTGGGAACAGTTTTCGGTTTAAAGCTTAGGGTGGGCCCTTTGTAAACTTAATCTTGCTTTTTGGGTCCGGCTTGCCATCTGACGACTTGCCACGTTGAAGCTCTGGGGAGCTTCATACCATAATCTACCCCAGTACCCAACTCTTCTTGTTCAGGCCCTCTAGTAACCTATACACCCAAGCCGTAAGGTCTAAACCCCAAACCCTACAAGCCTAATCTTAAACCCTGAACCCTAAACCCTAAACCCTAAACTGAGCCTCAACTCCCTAAATAACACTACACCTCAAAACCCCTCCGAGCTCTGAGATTTCATCCGTTCCACATCAGGAGCGACTGGCAGCTACAGGCCCGAATACAGGAGCTGGAGGCAGGGCTTGTGTGAATTGATTTGGCGTCTAGGGTCTAGGGTTTAGGGTATAGGGTTTAGGATTTGGGGTTTAGGGTCTAGGGTTCAGGGTATACGGTTTAGGATTTGGGGTTTAGGGTCTAGGGTTCAGGGTATAGGGTTTAGGATTTGGGGTTTAGGGTTTAGGGCTTAAGGTATAGGGTTTAGGATTTGGGGTTTAGGGTCTAGGCTTTAGGTTAAACGGTTAACGGTTTAGGGTTCAGGTTCCTGTAAGGAGTTACCACAAGGGCTACCATTGCTTGTGGGGTTGCTTGGACAAGTGGCGCGCATGTAACATAGACTTATGCTCTTTTAGGAGTTCCTTATACTGACCATAGCATAATATACCCCCCCCAAAACCCTAATTATTCTAATTATTAAGGCCCTAATTATTCTAATTATTAAGGCCCGTATATGATGGTAGGTCATCGAACCCTAGACCTGACCAGGGCTTTGTGACACGCCGCTGTGAGATGCCAGCAGAAGCCCAAGAGCCCAAACCCTAAACCCTAAACCCTAAACCCTAAACCCTAATCCCTAAACCCTAAACCCTGACCCTAAACCCTAATCCCT